GGACTCTCTCTCTCTCTCTCTCTCTCTCTCTCTCTCTCTCTCTCTCTCTCTCTCTCTCTCGCGCGCGCGCGCGCGCGCGCGAAGGAGGATGACAGGGAGAACGACAAACGGGAAAGTAAAATAGTATGGCTGTCTGTCTCCCTGTGTTTCAATGCAAGATTCATCCCATTTTGCAAAGGAGGACGAGCAGGAGGAAGACCGGAATGAAGAGGAGGGAAAGGAGGGAGATGGCAAAGTTGGGCGAACAGGAGACAAAAAAAATATGGCGGTGTATCTCCCCATGTTCCAGCGCAAGATTCATTCCATTTTCACAGGAAGAGAAGCGGATGCCTTGGCCCCACTACTCTGTAAATGAATCCTCGAGAATATGGAAAGATACACCACCATTTTTTTTACTCTGACGACCTTGAGATACGACCATCGAACTGATGAGCCCTGGCCAAGTAAGTATGGCCCCAGCTAATCCGGAATTAGAGTACTTTACTCGTCTGCTTTCCGCGGAGTTCGAACTCAGGTGTGTAGCTGGTGTGTTCGGGTTTGGTTCAGCAATTCTTTGTTTTTTTTTCTTTTTTTTCCGCCAACCCAAAAGGTTTAGCGTTTTGTTTTGGCTCTCTGGGGTCATTATACAGTCGCCGCTTGTCACATAGCCCTTGGGTCTGTTAAACACTTCTGGAGTCATTATACCACTCACCCCACGTGACATTCTTTCCCTGGGATGGATGTCAAATTGGGGATGCTATCTACTTGTATTCAAATTTCAAACATGTCACTAATACAGCAATGCCCAAACCACGGGGGAACCTGACAACTTCATTACCACAACGTGACTAAGGGCCCCGCTCCAGACGACTGCGAGATAGGGCCTCGCTCGAGTATTTCTTTGTGACGTTCGTTAGCTGCTAATGATTTTGGAAATCTTTGCATTTTTGGGCAAGGAAAACAAGATCATCGTTAAACCATTCACGTCTCGTATGTACTTTCTAAAGCTGTAAAGACTGAGCATTTTACCAGTAGCTGCGCCTCCCATCTGCTTTTTTTTCCTCGCCCCCAACAAGCAACAACAGTCTGTACGCCCAGCACTTACACCTGACGCGGAACAGCGCCCCCCCCCCCAACACACACACACAGACACACATACACACACTGATGACCCTACCAATACCGAACTGGGGGAGCAAGCCAACTATCTAAGTTGATTGACACTAAGCGTGCCCACATGGTCAGTGGGGATTAAACGTATGACCTCTTGAATGTCTCTTGTGTGCCTTATGGACATGGCTACTCCGTTTGCCAGTGTTTTTTTTTTTCCCTTTTGCATTCAGATACATTCAGGGATGAATCTGGACATGATACTCAGTTGCAATAAGTGCAGACTCGCAGTTTTTTGCTTCCTTTCCTTTTGTGGCCAAGGCCAAAGCAGAGTACAAACATGAGTCGAAACAACTAGAGGTCTACAAGCCTCGAATCCTCACCCCCCGGCTGAGCCTCACCTGTGCAAAGATGGTAAAAACCAGTTATGAGGTCCTACCAATCAACGAGATTGGGTTATACCGAATGAACACCAGAAAATTGTAGTATGATGCTCGAAATAGATGTTAGCTGGAGGTGAAGCACGTGTCTAACAGCACTTCTTTCAAAGACTACCTGTACGCGAACACAAAGTGCAATCAGGCAACTAGCACCCAACTGACAGACATTTAACAACGTTGGTCCAAACGGAATTTTCATCGGGTAACACCAACAACCACTACCAACGAAGGGATGAAAGAAAAATTGTATGCCGAATCTTTTGAAGCACAACAATCTTGACATCCTGCTGAGAGAACGAGTTTCATTTCTCACCCTATTGTTGTGTTGTTTCCTAAATGTTCCGAAATATAACAGCACGAAGACCCTCATACACGTATGCTCTGTGCATGGGTAAAGAGACATCATGGGCACAATCACGCAATATAGTGTTGTCGAGTGTATCGACTCCAGCCTTTTTAGTGAAACGAGCGGAGCCGTGGCGCACAGCAACACTCGCTGATACCCTGTGGCTCTCTCATGGACAAAACTCTCTCTCTCTCTCTCTCTCTCTCTCTCTCTCTCTCTCTCTCTCTCTCTCTCTCTCTCTCT